TGGGGGCTGTGGCTCTGCTGTCCTTGGGCTACAGTCCACGTCCTCACTACTGGACACCTGACAAGTGGAGCTCCCTCCCTCTATGGCCTTCTGATGCCCAGTACCAGCTCTGTTAGAGACATTACCTCAGCAAAGCCCTGAGACTACCAGCGACCCAGCTGCAGAGGCCATCTGCAGACATGCTCACCCACATGCTGTGGCTCATTCCCCAACCCTTGTGGCCTCTACCTACTTTGCTCAGTGTGGCCCACATTGCCAGACTCCTCCACGTCCTACCAAGGACCCATTCTTCCTGGTTTGCTCTGCCGTGGCTTCCTCGTTGGCAAAGTGGAGACGATGATGACACTTAACTGAAAAGGTTTCCATAAGCATGAAATCAGGGAAAATGGGAAATTCTTCCAACAGTACTAAAGTTTTTCCCACAGGAAAAACTAAGGAAATGTTGGCCTCACTCTTTATAATTGTTATTGTTGCCATAAATCTACATCATTCTCATCAGCATAAGTCTTCTAAGAGTTACACCTCATTTAGGAGCAGTCCATAGATAGGACTGTCAGTCACACTCCTCGTAATTGTTACTCTGGTCATAAATGACCTGATCATCATCATCATCATAAGTCTTCCAAGAGTCAAGGCCCCTTTAAGAGATGTTCATAAGAGAGGTTCAACTGTGATTTGAATTCCATTTCTCTACCATTATGGTACTGTTGCCTATGGAAATCAAGAAACATGAATAGGCACCTATTTAGGTGCCCTGAAATTTTCATTAACACTTGGAGAAATCTCCACCCATTGTTTGACCAAAAATTAAAACAGCCTGTGGCCGGGCACGTATAGAAGGGTCAATTGAGTATTAGCCCCAACCCATCTCTGATGCTTTGTTAAGTTACAACAACTGCCAAAGAAGAGAAACAGTCCAGTCTGCGCTGATCGAGAAGACATTCAGAAGGACAGGAGCCCTGAGCTGGGCCACCAGATCTACAGGAAGAGGTAACCCACGCTAAAGAGGAAGGATACTTCTAGGAAGAAAGCAACATAGGCCCTGAAATGAGAAATCATGGTGCATTCATAGAATCGCAGAAGTGGAGGAAGCATCCTTCACAGACATGGTTCTGGTTTATGTGTCCTGCAGATCTATCTCACACCATGAATTTGGGCTGAATACATGCAAAGTGATGAGTCTGAATGCTGTTTTGGGGTCAACGGAGAATATGACAAGGGCAAGGACTCAGGCAGGTCTCCAGGCAGGGGCCTCAACCTGGAAGAGGACTGAATGGCTCACTGAGCTGCCAGATAACACCTCATTGACAGGCCTAGAGACGGAGGAAGGGGCCTTGGGCGCAGCATGAGCCGGATCATTGTACTGGCTAGAGGTGAAGGGTGGCTGCTACCAAGAGGGACTTGATTATCCTCTTAAATAAAGCAGGACTTGATCACGATCCTAAATAAAAACCATCATCTGTATCATGTTCCTGCCTCCGGTCTGGATAGTTCTTGGGAGTCATGGAGAAAAAAATGAAACCCAAATCTCTATTTGTAGGAATGAAGAAGAATCCAATAGCTTTTTGATCTAAAAATAGGTTCTGGGTGAGGAAAGCCAAGACAGAAAAGACATAAGGTACAAAGTAAACCTTTAGCTCTAATGAAAAGCACCAGTAACTTCTTTCCAGATGACTCAGAACCCGTAGACAGTCACTCAATGGTCTGAAATCTGTTTAGGCAAGTCTGTGAAGAGATGAAGAGATCATAACGTTCCTATTTGCAGGTAGTTATAACCTAGAGAGGTGCGTGCAGAAGCTGATCTGCTGCAACAACAAATATCTCCAGATCCCTTGTCCCCCAAATTCCTAGCATCCTCCTGTACAATTGGGTGGACTGTTAGAAAGATGACTATTTCAAATGCATACTGATAATTTTTTTTTAATTGAAATGTTGATGTGACTACTTGGAAAGAGATCTTAGGGCAGATGCAGTGGCTCCCTCCTGCAGTCCCAGCACTTTAGGAGGTCACGACTTTGAGACCAGCCTGGCCAACATGGTGAAACCCTGTCTCTACCAAAAATATTTAAAAAGCCAAGTGTGGTGGTGCATGCCTGCTGTAATTCCAGCTACTTGGGAGGCTGAGGCAGGAGAATCACTTGAACCTGGGGGGGAGGTTACAGTGAGCCCATATTATACCACATTTGCACTCCAGCCTGGGCATCAGAGCCAGATTCCATCTCAAAAAGAAAAAAAAGAGAGATCTTGGGAGTCTGATGGAGCAATTCCTATCACCATCAAAGGCAGAGGTAAAACCAAATTATATTTATTAGTCATTTCTACCTGTTATATGCAAATATGTCTGGCAATTGTGACTGGATTTTGTTTCATTTCCTGTAAGAAACCCTTCTACCCACTCTCTAGTATCATTGACAGGCATGAATCAACATCAAAATTACCAATTAGGAGACTTTTAAAATAGCCCTCTTTTATAAAAAATTTTGTTGAAATTCTATTTTTGTTTAAAAATCCCTTTTGATATGCTAACTAGGTTAGTCTATCACCTTTAGCGAAGACTTGAATTTCTAAAGGTGCATTGCTGAAGCCAAGCAAACAAGTAGGTTATGGTGAAAAAAAAAAAAACAGTGGAAGCTATGCTATGCATTGGCTGTTCTCCAGAGAAGTATCAGTAAATACTTGTATCATACAAATGCAGATTCATATATTAAAGATTTCCAGGGTACAAAATAATTAAGCCAGATGAAGACTGATATTATACATGGCAAAGGGAAATAATTAGGCAGTGTCTTCTTCATTCAACACTATTATTTAGCACAGGTTTCACACAGATTTATTGATTATGTATCATAAGCTGTGAGCTAGACATACAAGACACAGTGTAAAGAACCAAAAGTTGTCACCGTATAATTTTTCTGTCTACTTTGGAATTCACTGATGTATTTTATTCAAGACACTTTGGATGTAATAAATGAAATCAACCTGAGACAAATCAAATGATGGAAGAGGACAGGTTTTGGGAAGGTAGCAGCTGATTTCATGAAATGTAACATACGAAAGGCAAGTTTTCCTAATGAAAACGAAACTGGTCTCACTGTCTTTCACGGCCATATGGTTTCTCTGCTGGGAGGCTCACTGCCACTCTAGAGTCCTCCAGTAGCACACAAGCCACTATGGCCACCATTGCCAAGCACCCAGTATTGTATGTCACAGATTTTGGGTTGCTTATTTCATATCTTCCAGAGTAAGAGCCCGGTTATTCACAGTCTGGTCAGGTCCATGTATGGTCCAATCAGGAAGTGGAAATTGATGCACAGGTTACTACACAGTTCCCTAGACCTTCTCCTATCAGGGGCTGGGGTTGGGTGAAATCATGTAAAAGGTGTACAGCATGAAAAAATGTCACACAGAAAGATTAGGAACATGAATTGAAAAGGTAAACCAGACCAATAGTGAAACAACAGCCTTCAAAGCGAACTCAGTGTCAATTCAGTGGTGCATGTGGACCTATAAAATCTGGCAGCCTTAGCTTTTCAGAGGTTCAGCTTTAACAGGAACCTCTTCATACATATAAAATTAGATGTAGTAAGCAAAAACACACTTAAAGCTGTTATTTTTCTCTCTCCCTAAATTCACCACCTTCAATTAGTTGAACTTATAAAAACCAGCTTCAGGTGAACACAATTGACTTTTCATTTTCATTATCCATCCTGCTTTGGTTAATCTGGATGTTCAGGCAAGTCTGTGATGAGTTTAACACACCACGTTGTACATATTTGTAGCAACATATACCTAGACATTTGGATGCAGAAGCAGATGCTTCCACATACCCTAAATAAAGTTTTGTAATGAAAAATGATATTCCATCCATGTGGTTAACCCCACTTAACAACACAGAGTGCAGTGTTTTCTATTTAAAGAAAAAAACTAAGCAATGTTAAAAGTTTAATAGCATATGACTCCAATACGAAATGCTCCAATTACAAAGTTATATGCTTACAAAGATAAAATATTTTGGAGCAACACATATAAAGATATTTGTATTCTTTTGCAGCAGCAGGTGGCTAAGAGTCCACCAAGTTCACGTTCCTGCTTCCGCAGAGTGGCTGCTGACCCCAGGACCCTGCCCCACTTCCATCTAACAGGGGTCATGTGACTGATACTCTCTAATGGACTCTGAGTGCAGTGATGCAACTGACGATGCAATTCAGGATGGAGCCACAGGGGATGGCAAGGCCATTAAGTTAGAAAGAGGTCCTGAGCCACTATATGGAAAGGAAGTGTTTTCAGTAGAGTGCCTAAAACACATCATCTAACAAGTGTGTTTTTGAAAAATGGAAGTTAAACCTATGTCTCTTTCACACACATATGCACACATACACTTACATTTTCATGTATGAAAGCCTGGTTCTAAGGGGGATAATTTTATTTTGTGGTCAAGTGGCTAAAAAGTGTAGGTTTAAAAAATATATGTTTAATTATCTCAAGCTAATCACTAATTGAAGAATCATTTATATTTATGAATGAGTAAATATTTTTATACATGGGAATTGCACATATGGTTCATATTCAAGGGGTAATTTTGTAACTCAGCATTATGTATTAGCAAACAATACTGGTTCCATCAGAATGTTCTCACTTTTCTTTCATGAAACTGGAACTCTGGATCATTTAGAAAAAAAAAAAAAAAGAACGAAACTGGGAGCCTGTGACTTGGCAATTCCTGATTTCCAGCAAGCTGGCTGAATGCAAAGCCTCCCTTTGTCTAAAATTACATATAATTTGCATTCAGGGCAGGCGTTAATTTTGTTAAAAGAGTTTCAAGTACAAATCAGGACATTTTGGACACCTTCTGAACATCTTAAATCAGGCCAGTTACAATTTCTTTCCAACACTTGAATGAATGTTCCAACTCCACCGCTGGGTTGGAAAGAAGAGAAATAGCACGATTTACGCACAGCGGCAACTCAAAGCACAGACAATGAACAAAGCAGCGCTGGTACCTGATGCTGCTCATGCTGCCGGTCTCGGACCCCAGCTTGCATCGCTCCAGCTGGCTGGCTACGATCTGCCGTTCAGCCTCCAGCTCTCGGGTCAGCCTCTCAAACTGTAATTCCTGAAAGAAACCCACAACAAGATCAATTCAATCATCTACATGACAGGTGAAATTCAGACCAAAATGATAGGATGGTGGAGGGGGAAAATAGGATATTCCAAGATGTCAAATTTGAGAAATGTGCAATAAAACTAGGATTAGAAGGTGAGACAGACTTGTGGCCGGATGGCTGTGCGACTTTGGATAAGTTATCACATAAGTATCAGTTTCATACTCTGTAAAACAGACTTAAAATACTTATTTAATAAGATGGAAATGAGGATTAAAGGAGATACTGTCGTGAAAAGTTTTCCAGTGCTATTTTTGTCAGATGGTCAGCACCGGCAGATACCAATACTCCTGACACCACAAGTATAGCATTTAATAAGAGAATAGTTCAGTTTTCAATTATCTTTTAGAGCATTGTATTTATTCCCCACTGGCCTTCTGGCCGACTCTGTACAGTATACTAATGTTTCTTCATATGACTTACATATTATAGATTAAAGCAAATAATGCTTTATAATCCACACTCTTTACAACTTTGCATTCCAGCAGAATGATAATGATACCAATTCTATACAGCCTCATTACTAAGTGAATAACCTTTGAGATATTTGATGTATTGCCTTAAAAATTAGACAACTGAACCAAAGAAAAATGCTTCTACAAAACTGCTTCAAATCCACCGTCAAAAACGTTAACAAAAAATTCAATAAGAACTTCAACAATCTCAGCTGTTCCAACTACAGGACTTTTGTACCATATTTTAGTACTTATGCTTTCTTTTCCCATACATGTAGGTGTTTTAAAAACTAAAAATAACTATAGCAAATCATGTATTTTAATAAGAAATGGCAGGGAAAGTTTTTACAACATCACATTTAATACCATTTTAAAAATTACCTAAATAGTTGTGTTTTGGGGATGAGAAACAAGATGCTTTAGCTTTCTGATACTCAAAAATAGCTTAGGAGTCAGTTTTGGAGAATTTAAACTCAGAAAGTGTGCAGGAATGTATCTTTCCGGAACCTAAGATTTTATTTACTTGCTACCCCAGGTTACTCTTGCATGAGATTTAAAAAGTAGAATCTGGTGTGTCCCCTATTACATTAAAACTATCCTGGCTCTTTTCCATAGGTGAAGATTTTTTTTTTAATGTTGACATTATTTTGAGAATCGAAGTAAAAGACATTTTGCAAATGAGAGCTTAATTTTCCATTTAAGGCACTAAAACCGAGGAAGCATTTTATTAACTTCAAACTTTTATTCTTACATATTCTGAAGGTCATCAAGTATTATAGGTTAGAAATTAATAAGACCTCTGCTCAATGTATTTTACACATCTAACTTCTCTTTCTTCTCTCTTAAAGTTCTACTGCTTTTTTTCTTTTTGGCGATTTCTTTTCATAATATCCAACTACTGGAAGATTTTTCATTTCTAGACTTCTTAACATATTGTATCTTAAGTCTCTCTGTTTAACAGGAAACCCACTCATACTTTTTTGTTTTTGAGATGGAGTCTCACTCTGTTGCCCAGGCTGGAGTGCAATGCTGTGATCTCAGCTCACTGCAACCTCTGCCTCCTGGTTTCAAGAGATTCTTCCGCTTCACCCTCCTGAGTAGCTGGGACTACAGGTACTCGCCACCATATCTGGCTAATTTTTTTTGTATTTTTAGTAGAGATGGGGTTTCACCATATTGGCCAGGCTGGTCTCGAACTCCTGACCTCGTGATCCACCCACCTCAACCTCTCAAAGTGCTGGGCCCACTCATACTTCTAAATTGATAACACCTTTAAAAACATAATACTTGAAGACACTACAGAACTCCTCACGGGCTGATGGAAATTCATTCTTTGCAGCATCTAAAGTACTTTAATTTGCTGCCCACTTTCCTGGGTTATAGAAGTTCAATATGGTGAAACTGTGCAGCTATCGGATTCAGAATTCATAAACCAGGGACTCCTGCTAGGACAGATGCTGCTCTTGGGCATCCGTGCTTCAGGCTGTGACCTCTCCATATCTCACAGGAGGGGTGACAATGGGAGATGACTTTCTCATATGCCAGCTTCCTTCCCAGCACTCAGATTTCAGGACTCTTCACCCATTCATGTAGATCTGTGGTTGCATCTGGCTTTATTTTCCTTCCCTCTGAAGGAAAAACCTTAGAGTTGTTCTTCTGGTGCAGTTTCCTGAGTAAAGAAGTCTTCTGTCTTGACAGACCTTAAAAAGGTATGTATCTGATTCTCTCATTTTGGAAGACGTTTTTGCTCTATTAAAAAAAAAAAAATACAGTTATCCTTAACTGTATTTCTCTGTATGTCTATAGTGTTTCTTTTTAATTTTTCTCTGCTTTTAAGATTTTCTCTTCATCAGCAGAACTGAAAAATTCAATGATCACGTTGCTTGGTGTTGCTTTCTTCATGTTTCTTATGTTTAGGTTACTGAGCTTGGATCTCCGGCTTTGTAGATTCCACCGTATCTGAACATTTTAAGCCATTATTTCTTTACGATTGTTTTTCTCTTCTCCATTATTTCCTTTCTTTCAATGACTCCACTTAAGTGCATTTTAGGCCACTTGGAATTGTTCCACAGTTCATGGATTCTCTTGCAATTCAACTTTTTTTTTTTTTCCTTTTGCATGTCATTTGGCTAGTTTCTATTGGTGTCTTTGAGTTAACTAAGCTTTACTTCTGCAGGGCTTAACCTACCATTTATCCCATCCAGTGTACATTTATCTCAGACAATGATGAATCAAACATCTCTAGAAGTTTCGTTTGGATCTTTTTTGTATCTTTCATGACTTTAACTTTTTGCACATGCTGACTATACTTATATTAATTATATTTTTGTTAATTCTAACATCTGTGCCAGTTTCAGCTGATTGATCTTTTTTTCTCCCCAGTCTGGGTCATATCGTCTGCTCCTTTGGAGATGTGATAATCTTTCAACACAGACATTTTCACTTTACCTTCTTGGGTTCTGGATAGCTTTGTATCCCTGTAATTGACTTCAGCTCTGTTATGAAGCACATTAAGTTATATAAAAGCAATTTGATACTTCTGAGCCTTGCACTTTAGATTTGTTAAGGGGAACAGAACAGCATGTAGTCTAGTGCTAATCATCCTGCCCTACCAAGGCAAGACACTTCTGAAACTCAACTCTCCATGCACTATGGGGTCTCCTACCTTGGCTGGTGGGTGCTGGCATACATTCCCAGCTCTCTGTGAGTACCAGGCACAATTTCCTCACATCCTTTCAGATGGTTCTTTCCCTGGCCTCTGGTAGTTTCCTTACATACAAGGGATGTTCAGTTGTCTGCTGAATATGAGAAGGGGCAGATTGCCTTTCTGATATTTGGACCCATGAAATCCCTGGACTCTCAGCACTGTCTTACTACTCAGGCCACACCAGGGTTCCTCCTTTCTGTACTGCTGTGGGGAAACTCTCTCAAGGCCATCATTTCCTACCTTACCCCAAGCCAAGGGTCTATGGCTTTACAGGGAAAACTGTTTTGGCCTTGACACACCACTGGGGCTGGGATCTATCAAGATGTAACCACCCTGCCCTGGAATGGTATTCTCTTTGGAGTTCATATCTGAGCTTGTGAATGGGAACAGGAAGAGCCAGAATGGAAGTTCTCTAACTTGGAATGACTGATTGATTTTTCAACTGAGGATTGATTTTTCTTCTTGGTATAAGACATTCTTGTGGCCTAAAGGCATCTAGAGAACACAGAGCACCTTCACAAGAATAGATGAGATTCCATTGCACTAGAGGAACTTAAACTGTGGGGTGACTGGAAAGACGACATCATCCATCTCTAACACAGTTTGAGGTTTGAGGGAGGACAGACCCTCAGGAATGAATAAGCTGCTGAGTTTCTAGGAAAATTTGAGACGGAACAGCATTCAAGAGAGAGATGTTGCTAATAAGGGCAGGTGAGTACATAAGAAGTTAATTGGAAAATTAGAAGTATGTAAATTATATTTAGTAAAACTTGTAATTCTGGTTACAAGTAAATACATACTCTTCAATTAATTCAGTGAAGGTGAGACTGTAAAGAAAGAAGAAGAAATATCTTTAAAGGTTATATAGATTTGCAGGGTAGAAGAAACAATAGAAGCCAAGAAAATAAATAGAAGGTAATTCTGGGGCAAAGGACCACTAGTATGGCATTTTCCTGGGTAATTCCGGTGGAGAAATGGTGATGTAAATTAGGCTCTGAAAAACATAATACAGAGACTGTCCAGAGACATTAAGACTTCATGGGAATTTAGTGTAGCTGGTGGTTTGGAGAAGACATCCAACGGCAAAAAAAAAAAAAAAATAGTTGTAACAAAGAGCAGAGCAATGTTAGAGAGCCTAAATCTTCCCACTGTGTAGAAATTACTTTATGTAAAAGATCATAAATATCATGAAAGCATTGGAGATATGATGTAAAAGTTCATTAAAATTTACAAAGAACCAGATTTAAATGGTTTCATCCTAGAATAGCATATTATTGACCGATATAATAATACATTGGGATTATTACAAGAAAAATTATCAAATATTTTATAACTTTTATAAATTGATGATTTATTTGGTTTAATTAAATGGAGTTTATTAAATGTTTTTAAGTAGATAAAAGTATGTAAACTCTCTTGGGGGGACTTAGTTAACTTAGTATGAAACTGAAATAAAAAAAACTCATGTTCATAGTTTCATAGTTTCATTACTTCCTTCAATAAATATGTTACTTAACTTTGTGCTATAGCATTTGCTGGGATGGTACGAGCCAGATTTGAGGAAGCATAAAAATGTACAATTGTTAAGTCTTAACAATATTGAGGCTTCGTCACGTCTATGGTCTAAATGCCTGTGTTTCCATGCCCTGCCCAAGACTTGTGTGTTGAAATGCTAACCCTCAAATTGAGGATATTAGGAGTCAGGGTCTTTGGGAGGTGACAGGATGAACCAGGAAATGGGCCTTCACCAGACACCAAATCTGCCTGCACCATGATCCTGTGTTTCCCA